GGGCCGTGGCGGAAGGGCAGCGGAGGCGCCCCCGCTCCCGGCGGCCTCGATGGCGCGGGACCATGTGCCGGGGGCATGGCGGGGCGGCCGGGCGGGGGGCGGCGGGGCCGGTGCGGGTGGCGGGGGCGGGGAGGTGGAGCCTGGCTGCGGGACCGCCGCTTCCCTCCCCCGTCGGGCGCTCACCTGGCGGGGCCGCCCCTCGCCAGGGGGCCGGTTCCACGCGGGGCTCGGGGCTCGCCCGCCCGCCCTCCCCGGGCCGCGCGTCCGCCGCCCGCCGGCTCAGGCCCCAGCAGCCGCCGCCTCCCCCTCCATGGCCGCCGCTCTCGCCGGCTGCATTGTGGGAAGCTGACCTCACTCGCTGCTGCCGCCGCCCCGCCGGCTCCGGCACTCGCCGCCATGGGGGCCGTGACCGACGGTGAGACCTCCCTCCCTCCCTTTCGCCATCCTCCCCTCCTTCCTCCCGCCCCGCGCCGCGACCCCCGCCGGGGCTCCCCGCAGCGCCGCGCCCCCCGCCCGCCCTCCGGGGAGCGGCTGCCCGCGGTCCCCGCGCCCGCCCCGGGGCCGCTCACCCCACAGGCGGGCCTCCATGGCGGCCCCGGCCCTCCGTGCGCCCCGGCCCCGCGGCTCAGCAGATCCGCCCGCTCGGGCACCGGGAGTCGCTCCCTGGAGGGCCGGGAGAGAGCCGGGAGGCGGCTGCCATGGCGTGAGGGTTTAACAGGAGTTTTTCCTCAGATGAAGTTATCCGCAAGCGGCTGCTGATCGATGGCGATGGAGCTGGTGACGACAGGCGGATCAATTTGTTGGTGAAGAGTTTCATTAAGTGGTGTAATTCCGGATCTCAGGAGGAAGGGTATCTGTTGTTTTGCTTTGTGTTTTTAAGTCTTGGAACTGCTTAGCTTGCGTTTCAGTGGAAAGCAGGGCTCGATCCATTTGGAAGAGATCCGTGTTAAAACGTGCACAGCTGCTTTTCTTTGGCTCTGTGGTGTTTCCAGGACAAACGCCGAGGGCTGTGCTGGGAGAGGAGGGCTACAGACGGGTCAGAAATCACTGAAGGCTGCGGGCTGTATCTGAAATCTGCCAGCACCGCTCGAATGCCCTCAGGATTGCTGTGCCTGCTGCGTGATCCAGCCGGGAGGCCCGCTCTTATAACGGGATCATGACTCGGATATTGTAGTTGGCAGTTCTGCGTTTGTTCTCTTAGAGAAGGGAAATACTGCTGGTATTTCTGCTGCTGTCGTTCTCTTTTTTTTTTTTTACGCCTAAATTAGGTAACTCTTCTGACTGAACTTCCAAAAAAAATTATACACTGAATCTTTGAAGTGTTGTCTTTATTAAATAATTATTATTTAGCAGTCCCTTATGCAACATGAAGTTTTGTTTTCTTGCTCTGTAAAGTTAGGAACTATTTTAATGCTGCTCGGGAGTAAATGTTTTGTCTGTTTTCAGATACAGCCAGTACCAACGAATGCTGAGTACTTTATCACAGTGTGAATTTTCAATGGGAAAAACTCTTCTGGTGTATGACATGAACCTAAGAGAGATGGAAAATTATGAAAAAATCTATAAGGATATAGGTAAACATGAGAAAATGTTGCTGGTTTCTGTTTGACAGTTTCTCTTGTGAGCGAGCTCAAGCCAGTTCTGATGAACATAATATAGACATCTGATGAGTGGTTTGGAGTGTTTTTGGGATTTGTTTTTTCCCTACTAGATAACACTCATATATGTGCTATAACCATCTTGGAATTATGTAAAATACATACAAACAAGAGGCTTTTTTAACCTGTTGAAGTATATATAGTTTTTAAACTGATGGAGCTAACAAGCCACCATGTCACAAACAGCTCTTTTTTAGTTTAGCAGATTACCTTATTTACTTTTATTGTTTGAGTTCAACATAAATCTATCTCTTTCTTCCTTTTTTTTTTTTTTTAGAAAATAGTATAGCTGCAGCTCATGAGAAGATATCTGAATGCAAAAAACAAATCCTTCAAGCAAAAAGGATTCGAAAAAATCGCCAGGGTAAGGCACCATATCTGTATGTACAGTGGTGGGCTTCATTGTTTTCTTATCTTTTAGAATACATTGTATTGGAAAATAGATTCTAAATTTTTGGAAGTGCAAGCCATCGTAGTTGCTATAGTCAGCATGGTGGGTTCCACTCACTACTGAAAGTTTTGGATGGGTGACACAGGCAGGATTGAACCAGCTCTCAATGACATGCAGCATCAGGAAAACCTAAAACAGTGTCCTTTCTGAACACCTGTTTTAAGAGGTGTGTTTTTTCCCCTCTTTTAAAATTATATACTCATCATTCATTGATACCTAAAACACTCTAAAGGATGAGCAGTTGAGAAGAAGCAAAAATTTTCTTTTTCATGATATGCCAATGAAATGCTAAAAAGAAATTTTAGAAATATAACATGAAAAGTTTTAAATACAAGTGTTTAATCAATGCTGTGGATACTCTTGAGCTGAAGTGGAAATTAAAATAACCTTACCCAGTAGGAATGTGGAGTTCTTACATCTTCACAAACAGATCTGAAGTGTTTGCTTTTTGATATATTCAGTCCAGTCTGCAGCACAAATTTTTCCAGGTGAATTAAGTAGTTGCCATATATATAGTCTTACTATTGGGAAATGGCTGTGTTAGTTGCCTGTATAAGCATAATATTGTTCTTAATGTTTTATAGTTTTTAAAAAATCCTAAAAATTAAAAAAAAAATAAATCCATGCATCATTTTTTACTTTTTTCTAAAAATCTTTGATGTTCATTTGTAACATCAGCACCATTTTCTGTACATATACATTTGATTGTATCTAAAGCCAATGTTTATGAATCAGACACAGAAGACTAAGTGTGCAGTAATGCAGAGCTATCTTAAGGGGTTTTGAAAAACATTAAAACAGTTTTTCAAGGAGAAAAAATCTGCCATTCTGTGGTTCATGAGTTTGGGTCCTTGAATCCATCATTTCAGAAGTATTTAGATTAACTATTTCAATGTCTTTCAGAATATGATGCATTGGCCAAAGTCATACAGCATCACCCAGACAGACATGAAACACTAAAGTAAGTATAAAACTACATTAAACTGTAATAGAGCAGTAAACTCAGTCACCAGACTTGATATTTCCTTGATTTCAGTTTGACTTTTCCTCACATTTATACAGTTTCTTTGACACAATAAAAACTTGTGTTTCTCTGCCCTTAGGAACTTTCCTTAGTCTCCCATCTGTATGCGTCAGAAGCATTGCTAATTGTTCTGTAGTTGAAATTTTTCCACTGTTAAGGTGAATAAGTGGACTGAGATGTAAATGCACATCTGATGTCAGTTTACCTATGAGTCCTAGAAAAGACTAATGGTGGGATGTCCTTTAACTTGCACCAGCCAGATTCAGTAGTCACTTGAAATGGGTAACACACAAGCAAGGAATGAGAGAAATCAGGAGAAAGCTCCTAGGGTTCTTTTTAATGTTTTCCTTCTGGTCGCTGTTCCTGCATGCCTGGTTATAAAAGGCTGTGTTGTGCACCACAAAGAACCTGCCCTGGCATGCAGGTCAGACCTACCTGTTGTCCAACTCGTCTTGCCTGTAACTCACAGTGCTGCTTGTCACATTCTGGGTTTGCATCACTGTCTGTGCTTTTGGGGCAGTTGTGGGGAGATTAATTTTACTGAGCCATAGAAATATTCCAGGACTTATTGCATCTATGAGTTTGTTGTTCTTAAACTGATTAAAGATACAGTGTGGGATTACTGTTCCCATTTAAGTGCAGCTGTGCACTTATCCTGCTCCCACTTTCAGTGGAATTGCCCAGGGAGGCTGTCTTTGCATATTCCATAGCCTTTCATAGCAAATGGAAGTGTTTTGGTTATGCTATTACCCTAATAATAGCATTTTTATAGCTCTAAGCCACTGACAATATATCACACATTTCTTTCTTGTATGTTGTTCTTCTGTGCCTTGATTTCATTACCCCAAATTTGATTATTACAGGCAATTCTCATGAGGCTTGACTACTTCTTTCCTCATTAGTCAGCATGTGATATTTATCAAGTGAGACTTTAATAAAGTACTACCAAAAATGCAGCTTTTCATACAAGTCAATTAAAAATAGAAACAACTAAATGAGAGAAGTTGTGACTGCCCCATCCCTGGAAGTGTTCAAGGCCAGTTTGGATGGGGCTTTGAGCAATCTGGTCTAGTGAAAGATGTCCCTCCCCAAGGCAGGGGGTTGGTTTATGGTCCCTTCCAACCCAAACTATTCTATAATTCTGTGATAAATTATACTTTCTTATTTTAGAGGATGCTGAGTTGTTTGGGTTTGGAGGGATTATTCTAATTTTGCTTAACACATGCAAGCATAAGTTTCTTAAGCAAAGCTAGAAGGAGTGGTAAGTTACAGCTGGTAAGAATGCAGTCTATAGGAAGGTATACAGAAAATGACACAATGAACCAAAGGCCACCCTAAATTCAGGATAGAGGAAGCCTCACTAACAATGTCACACTTTTCATAGAACTCTTAATCACTAAGAACACTTGAGAAATCTTGTGAGAAGAAACAGAAAGGTTTATTGCAAGAGTTACATTTATAGCTTTTGCAGGTTATGTGGCATAATAGGACAAAGTTTAGAAAACCACTTTCTTTATGCTTTTAAGTGTCTGTTTCTTGGAACAAGTCATACAGCACAAAAGAAGCTGTTAACAGCTTAGTCACAAGTACTGCACAGGAGCCAATTCAGGAAAGTGATAGGAGCTGAAGTACTAAACAGCAGTGCCTACAGTGTCATTAGATGCAGTATCAGAAGAGCTCTTCAGAGGACCAAGAAGTGACACTGAGTCTTAAAAAAAGGAGATATGAAAGTAAGAAGGCTAAACAAAGATTTTCTGGAATGTAAAGTGAATAAAGAGCTTGAATGTTACTCGAAAAAAAGTCTGTCCTTTCTCAGTCTGCTTACACCTGACAATACAGTGTAAACAGCAAGATTTGGCTAAGTGGAAGTTTTTCAGAAACTAGAAACCAAATGCTTCCAAAATCAGTGTATGAGCCCGTAAGCTGTTAGCTTGCTTCCCTCAAAGGAAGGAGTAATGTCACACACAGCTCTCAGGTATTCCCATTGAGGTCCACGGGCTCAGAAAAAGACAGCACCCTCAGGCAGCACTAAAATAGACCTTTTCCCATCCACAGTGAGGTACTTAGGATTGGAGGACTTCTTGTGGTTGCTTACCCAGACTAGTTGCAGCAGCTGTCAATGGCTTCAGGAAAAAATGTTGATTTCCTTGCTGACCCTTCTATGACTCTGCTTGCTAATGAGTCAGGGATGATGAACTTCAGTCCACTTCACCTTTAAAGGAGCAGTTTGCTCTCACTGCATGGTGCATGAACTATGATAGGCATTGGAAGCAGAAGGATCAAACTGGAGGTTTGGCTGTAAGAGTTGGTGCTCCATCTTCATTTGAGAGGTATATTACGGTACCTCCTATTCTTTGCTTCAGAAAGGATTGTGGTGGTCCAGGGTGAGTTCAAGTGAAAACAGAAGGTTCTTCCCTCAGAGGGTGGTCAGGCACTGAACAGACTCCCCAAGGAAGTGGTCACAGCACCAATCCTGACAGAGTTCAAAGAGCATTTGGACAGTGCTCTCAGGCACAGGGCATGACTCTTGGGGTATCCTGTGCAGGGCCAGGAATTGATGTTCCTTGTGGGTCCATTCTGGCTCAGGATATTCTAAGACTCTATGAATCTCCGTCTTTAACTTGTATTGTAGGGTCGAGTAAATAACATGTTGTGTCAGGACTGGATTGTTAAAAATGCCTAGGGTACAGCTGTGTTCCAGCTTGGAGGTCTAATTTTTTGTAAAAGTCCTGAAATTACAAGTCTAGAACATAACAGTTTAATAGTTAATGAAATGACCTTACCTCTAAATAATTTCACTTGTTTTATGTAAACAGTTTATTTTATAGTTCTTTCTCCTCTACTTAGAGCAAATCTGTTTTGCAAGAATTTTACAGATTTTTTAAAGAATACTCTGACAATCTTTTCAGGCAGCTAGAAGCTTTGGGAAAAGAACTGCAGAATCTTTCTCACATTAAAGAAAATGTTGAAGATAAGGTAAGTTTTTCATAATAATTTATTAGCAATACAATAAATGTAGAGTCTGTTATGAGTTGTTTGGCTGTATGTGCTCTCTGCTCCCTACAACATGTATTTTACCATTCCAGTTGGAGCTGAGAAGGAAGCAGTTCCATGTTCTCCTGAGCACCATCCATGAACTTCAGCAAACCTTGGAGAGTAAGTGCTGTTCTTTGGTTTTAGCAGATCAAAAGGAATCACAACTTCCAGCAGGGGGATAGCTCTGTGCAATTGAGGCTGGTGACCTCTTGCATTGGCAGAATTTTTTCCCCAGTAGTAATCCAGAGCCTGAGACTGCTCAGTTTTGGTTTTTTTCTTCTGCAAGCTACCCACTGTGCTATTTCCTGACTAGCTTCAGATTAATTTGTAGGCAGCAGAATTCTTTAAAATGTGAGGATGGAGAACAGCAATTTGAGGTTTGTTTGGTTTTTTTTAATAGAAAGTATTTCTTACAGAAAATTGTTCTTGTGCATATTTCCAAATTTAATTTTATAATTCCTATTTCAGTAGTTTTGCACATGTCACTACTATCATGGTATCATTTGAGGCTTTACTAAAAAGAAATTGAAATACAAAGAAGACTCAGACTGTGAATCTGTGACAGAGCGGGGACTAAAACTCAGACACAAGAGCTAAATTCAGGAATTGGTCATACTCATCTTTTGTCATACAAATACTTAATATTTTCAAATCAGCACTAACTTTTCTTACTCTAATACAGGTAATATTGTTTTAAATATTATTTGCTGTATATTTGCCATGTCTTTCAAAGACAGAACAATTGGTGCAGCCTCTGAGCATGACCTGATTAAATTCAGAGAGGACTGTAAGAGCAGACTTTCATTCTCTAAGATCTTCTTAAGCAGAATGAACTGTTAATCCTAGGTGCACTTTAGCAGAAGGTCATTGTTATTATGTGTTACTAGCACTTGCTTAAGTATTAGTCTTGAAAATGAAAATTCATGTGAATGTATAGATCACCTTTCAGGATTTTGTGAAGAAAGTAGCAGTTTAGTGTAAAGACTTCAGTATAAAATAAACCACTAGTAGGCAAAGAGATGAAGGGGTTGGAATCAATCTAGTACCATTTGTTTCAATTGATACTATAGAATGCAACCCATATTTCCAGTAATAGCTGTTAGAGATAACGTCCTTAAAAACTGTGAAGCATTTTTTTCTTTGTTTGAACATAGCATTTTATAGAATGAGATACTCAACTACACATTTAAGGCAATCAAAATAAAATATTTAAGTGGGACAAAGTTCTGCAATATAGCCTGTATATATGAACAAGCATGTTTGACTAACAGTAATATTGAATTTTAGATGATGAAAAACTTTCAGAAGCTGAGGAATCCCAAGAAACTCAGATGGAAGCAGAGGCCAAGCAGTAGGTGTCATATGAAGACTGATAATACAACATAAGAAAGTCCAAGTATCTTCACTTTTTGTTGAAATCAACAGTAAGAGATGGAGCTGGAAATAGTTTCCTACTGCTCCTGTGAATTTTTGTATAAAAATATGTGTTTTGCATATGCTTCAGGGGAAAACAGTTGCAGATGTTTGCAGACAGGCACTCAGTGTTAATCCACAAACTTTGTAATTTGTGATAAATATACTTTGTTTCACAAAGGATGAAGCTTTTACACCATACTTGTGAATTAAAGTGTTTGCAAAACTTTGCCAATAAAAGGTGTTTTCACAGATTTTCCTATTTTTAGTCGGGATTGAGCCTTATAATAAGGGCTTATTTTCTTACATGACATCAGACTGAGGACAGTGCATTTTTCATGAGTCCCAGCTTCCATGCCCTGTTCTAGATGGGACCTAAATCTGAACTAAGTAGGCTCTTAGTTTTTCAAAGTAGCTGCCATTTTAGAACTTACTGTGACTAGAGTAGAATTTCATAGTTTCACATAAAATAAATTACTTCTGTAGAATTAATACTTACTAAAGATCATAAAAAACCAAAAATGATACTGCACTTGGTTTAATTTTTTCCTCAAAGTGATGCAAAGAACTGCAGTGATCCAAGCCTTGCTCTTCTATGTTTGTTGTACCACATCAGTAGTCACATTTTGAAATGGCATGTTTAAAATGTCAATTTAAAAGCTTTGTTCTTGAAGAACCAGGAATCTCATCCTGATACCGTTTATAATTTTCTTCTGGATTTTATCTGTCAATTGACTATTATCAAAATACATCATAATTTCTGAAACAGATGTTGAAACCCCTCTTTACTCATGATGAAAAATGGAAGTAGTAGCGCAATAATCATGATGTTAAAGAATCAGAGATACTTTTGTTATTAATAAGCAAAGTGGAATCTGTCCATCCACCTGGATCGTCCTAATGTCTGAGCAATCGGTTGGGAATGGGAAAAGTTTCAATGTTCCCCAAAAGAGAAGAGAATGGAATGTGCTCTTATGCTTTTGTAAGGCAGAGAGGAAGGAACAAGGGTCAGTAGTAGGTCATGTTCTAAAACACTAAATGGAGTCTTCCAGTGGTTTGGGTAAAGAAAAACATTTTGGATGTCACTCAGACTGTGCCATAAGCTTATATGGTTCAAGTGCAATAATAATGTTACGCAGAATAAAGCTGCTGTCTCACTAGCTGACAGCTGAGGGGGATTTCCACAATTGAGACTTCAGGCATTTATAACCTCGATGCTACATAATTCCCACTCTCAGTGGCTGTGGATCTGTGGATTGGGCTGAACAGACATATCTGAGCTTGTTTTGCTCACATTCCAAGTTTTCTAGAGGCAAGGCAGCTGAATAAGAAGTCACACAACTTCAGTAGCACAGTGCAGCCCTGAACTAATAAGCTGCCAGAAGTCTTCTAGTTCACAGCTGGTCAGCTCAGAACACAAGCTCAGGTTTGCCTGATGGAGCCTGTACAGACATGCAATGTTTCTCAAGCACTACAAATTTGGCAGGTTGAGGGGTGGCTAAGCAGACAACAGGTATTTAATAGGAGAGGTACACCATCAAAAAGTATTGTTTACAGGGGTTTTCCCCTCCTAAAAGCAGGGAATAGTAAAATATTTTGTAAAGCAGCAACACTAAATTATTGCCAAATCAGGGAGGAGTCATTGTCATGAATGTATAAATTATGAAGATCATAAGTTAAAAGGACTCAAGGACAATTTTAAAGCATATTAAATTTTTCTTTAGAAAAATGGCCCCCATGAGCTATCTGGACTATATTCTAGTGCAGAGGAGGATGATATTCACCAGGTAAAAACAGTCTCTGTAACAGTGAAAATCTCAAATTTTTCCATTCATTTTTTTACACAATTCTTTGGAAATTACTTGGATCAGTCAAGTATCTTATCTCAGCTACAGAGCCATGCGAGTTCTGACCTGACCAGAAACATGCCAACACCTAAGTCTGTCCCTCTAGTAAGGAATATTTACAGAGAAGTAAGAGTTGTACACAAGAGAAGCAATACAAATGTATGGCACAGGAATATATTCTAGACCAAATCACAGTGATGCAGTCTTGAGAAGAAATTACTGCGCTAGAAAATCAAGTTGCCCTAGTGCAATGTGGCAGCAAGAAGGTGATGTCACCGGGCCAATCAAAGGAAAAGGTAACATCAATTCATTGCAAGCACAGCCTCAGTGGAACACCCAAAATATTTGCTCCTGTTTTGTCAGTATTTATACCTCTAACCTCTTGAACATTAGATTCGTGCCAAAAAAGAAGCAAAACCAAGTGGAATTCATATACCAGCCAGTATTTAACCTGCTTTGTTACCAAGACTCAGGTTTCAACTTTGAATCTGCCCTGCATATGCTGGAAATGTGTATCTGCATGTCCATCTTCTGTTCCAGAAGTTTTCTGTGTGTCACGTTTGCAAGGCACACGATGGTCACTGTTACATCCCTGCCTAGAAAGTTCTCTGTCATGCTGCTTACCTGCATTGACTCTAAATGTACATGTATAAAAACCCAGGTACATAAATTCAGAATCTCAACAGCCATAATATTTTAAAAAGCTGTTTCCTGGATTTATGATTTGCCTTGACCCTATCTAAACTGAAAGATTATTATATGCCTAAATGGTCTATCTCAGTGCCCTCGTCATATGGATGCAAAAATACAAGCAGGGAATTGCTGAAGTGATAAACTGACATTTTCAACACCAGAACTTGTTTTTCTGTCCTGTCCAAATGAGAGCAGCAGAGGGAGAGTGGAACATTGGACAGAATTGGTAACTTGGACAGGATTTGGTAAGACAGATTTAGCAGGCTTCATGAAGGGATGGAAGAAGGAAGAGAAAGAATGTCACCGTGACACACTGTCAAATGATGGGATATCTCTGAAACCATGTTAATTTGAAGAAAGCTGCTGCCAGCAAAGAAAACTGAAAAAACAAAACAAAACAAAACTCCAAAGATTTATCAGCTAGAAACTAGGAGTTATTTGAGATACTTAGATACTTGTAAGTTTTTCAGATGTCAGAGCTGGCTTGTACCATGCCTTCCCTCCTTTACTCAAGGCTCAGCTGGGTTTCCTTTTCATATGAGTTTAATAAAATGAAGAAAAAAATTCAGCAATGCAGGCAAGTACTGTTAGTTTTGCTCTGGGAACCTGTGTGTTTTTTTCTTTCTAGACTAGCTGCATTAGAGACACATCCAGTGTATAAACCATTTTATAGATCCAAATGAAACAGACCCTGGGTAAAGCAAGCTAGCAACAGAGAAGTGCTCCACCTTTTGTACTTCACCCCAACTGTCAGAGGTGTTCTTGGGTTACCTCAACCTTCATTTCCCAAGTCTGTTTTAATGAAGGTTGTTAGCACTGTTGCAGAATTCCCTCCACTCATAGCCCAGGGCTACACGGTGCAAAGATAGAACAGAAAGGCTGCTCCTGTGTGCTGGGCAGTGCCACAGCAGCCTGGAGGCAAAGCCAGGTTTGGCTTTGGCTTGTGTCCACCCTGGCCTGGTGTGATTCACCTGCCTGCTGGCAGCAGGAAAGCATCCAGCAGGAGCATGGCTGTGTGAGGCTGTTCAGTGATGTGCCAAAGGCACTCGAGAAACGGGATACCAGGACATCCCAGCAAAGGAAACTCAGCATCCTTGTACTACGGAGCTTCCCAGGTACTCAAGAGTCATCCTAAAGTCAGGAATGCAGTATGATGTGAAATTTGCCCGGGCTAGCAGAGTCCTGAAGGCAAGGATGAGGGGCCTTACACCTCTGTGCCAGGTGAAACGATGCAGGGCCCTTTTCATGGAAAGAGCACCTCTGTATCTGTCCTGGCCAGGGGCAGCACTGCCTGTGTTGGACAGCCGTTCCTGGCTTGAGTGGCAGGAGCCGGCCTTCATCGAGGAACGCACCAGGAAGGAAATTGGGAACAGATTCGTTTTTCCACACTTGTGACATTTATGTCTGTGTAGCTTTTGTGAGAGGCCGCACGTCCGGGGGAAGCGAACCACGGCGGCTCGAGGGAGGCGCTGCCCGCGGTGCCCGGGACCGAGCGGGGCCGCTCCCGGCGGGGCCGCCAGAGGGCAGCAGAGGCCGGGCCGGGCGGGCGCGGCGCTTCCCGGGATCCCTGCATCCATCCGTCCATCCATCCCTCCATCCATCCATCCCTGCATCCATCCCTGCCTCCATCCCCTGCATCCATCCATCCCTGCATCCCTGCCTCCATCCCCTGCATCCATCCATCCATCCATCCCTGCATCCATCCCTGCCTCCATCCCCTGCATCCATCCATCCCTGCATCCCTGCCTCCATCCCCTGCATCCATCCACCCATCCATCCCTGCATCCATCCGTCCATCCATCCCTGCCTCCATCCCCTGCCTCCATCCATCCCTGCCTCCATCCCCTGCCTCCATCCATCCCTGCCTCCATCCCCTGCCTCCATCCATCCCTGCCTCCATCCCCTGCCTCCATCCATCCCTGCCTCCATCCCCTGCCTCCATCCATCCCTGCCTCCATCCCCTGCCTCCATCCATCCCTGCCTCCATCCCCTGCCTCCATCCATCCCTGCCTCCATCCCCTGCCTCCATCCATCCCTGCCTCCATCCCCTGCCTCCATCCATCCCTGCCTCCATCCCCTGCCTCCATCCATCCCTGCCTCCATCCATCCCTGCCTCCATCCCCTGCATCCCACCGACCCTCTCCTGGGATCCCTGCCTCCATCCCTGCCTCCATCCCTGCCTCCATCCCCTGCATGCCACCGACCCTCTCCTGGGATCCCTGCATCCATCCCCTGCATCCATCCGTCCATCCATCCCTGCATCCCACTGACCCTCTCCTGGGATCCCTGCATCCATCCCCTGCATCCATCCGTCCGTCCATCCGTCCGTCCCTGCCTCCATCCCCTGCATCCATCCCCTGCATCCCACCGACCCTCTCCCAGGATCCCTGCATCCCACCTGCCTGTTCCTGGGATCCCTGCATCCCACCTACCCTCTCCCAGGATCCCTGCATCCGTATGCATGCAAGATTCTGCTGCCTCCAACACATCTAGCCCCATGATCCTGAAAACAGGGCAAGAGTTGTTTCAGGATCATTACACACTAGATTGGATCCATTGTTTCAGGATCATTACCTACTGGATTGTTCTGAATTTGCATTATCACAGTGAGAAACTTTACAAAAGTTTGCTAAAAGTGTTATAGTGCATGAAAGTTGCTATAATATTTAACAGAAAAGACATGTGTTTTTGAATTGCTTTCACAATAAAGAGAAAATGAAAAGCAAACTACCTAAACAACCTTTTTTTATGTTTTGCCAGTTTGCTCACAGTGAAAAGTCACCATCAAGAGAATTTAAAATGATGGTTTATCTCCAAGGAGGAAAGGATTTGTCTCTTCTCAAAACAAGAGTTTCATCAGAAGTGTATGCTGGATGTAACAGTGTGTGCTGCATGTAACAAATAGGGCCCAATAGGACCCCATTTGGAATGAAAACAAAATATATAATTTATGATCTGGCAGGGCTGACTGCAGACACCTTCCCAAAGACTTATATAAAATACTACTACACTTAAATCTTATATGAACCTAAATGAAATTCACATTTACATTTGCTGCACCAAAATCCCATGAGTGAGCTCCTATTTCAAACTATGTACCTTCCCAAAAGTCCTATATTGTTGCTAAAATCTCCCAAACAGCACTAATCTTCAAAGCTAAAAACAGAAGGCTCTGGTAGATTACCAAGCATAAGACACAAATTTAGACACAACACATGGAAACAAC